TCCCATAAAAACTAAGATAGATAAGTGGAACCTCACTAAACTGAAAAGCTGTTGCACAGCAAACAAACAAAAAACAAGAGAGTAAAGAGACAATCCACAGGATGGGGAGGGGAGAATTGCAGTCATGCATTTGACAAAACCCTAACATCCAGGATCTACGAGTAACTGAAATAAAGTGAAAGGAAATTAAAAAAAAATCATTAAAAAGGGGTCAAAGGACATGAACGAACACTTCTCAAAAGATGGCATACAGTCAACCGACACATGAAAAAAATGCTCAACCTCACTAATCATTAGAGAAATGTGAAACAAAACTACAATGACATACCACCTCACTCTAGTAAGGATGGCTATCATTAATAAGTCACAGAACAAGATGCTGGTGCAAGTGTAGAGACAAGGAAATGCTTTTACAGTGTAGGCTGGAGTGCAGACTAGTTCAACCTCTGTGGAAAACTGTGTGGCAATTCCAAAAAAAGGTAAAATTGACCTTCCATATGACCCAGCAATTTTTCTCCTGGGAATATAATTGAAGGAACATACATTGTTCTACAAACAACAACAAAAACAAAAACCCCCCAGCAAACTCATATTTATTTTCACACTATTCACAATAGAAAAATCATGGAATCAACCCTACTGACTAAGAAAAGTGACTAAGAAAAGTGATGCTGGATGAAGACAATGTGCTACATATACATGGTGGAGTATTAGGCAGAATCATGGACTTTGCATCTTATTGGATGGAATTGGAGATCATCATACTAAGTAAACTATCACAGAAACAAAGCTCTACATACCACATGTTCTCACCCATGAGTGGGCCTTGAACATTACTCACATTAGCACAAGGGTGAAATTGGTAGTCACTGGGCAATGACAGGGAAGTGAGGGAGGGAATTGGAGGGTGGGGGGCACATGACAACACAAATGGTACTTGGTTCATTATCAGGGGAGGAAGAGTCTGTTAGAAGCCCAAACTTCACTTGCATGCAGCCTACTTATGTTGTTAATTCTCACTTTGATCCCATATCCTTATAATAAAATAAACATGTGAAGAAAGAAATATTTCGAGACCAAATTATGAGGATTATAAAAATGATACATTTTTGAATTCATAAATTATACATTTAAATTTTATAAATTTAAATATCATAAACTGTAAGTATAATTTATGGAAATTATAAACATTGCAATATTTACTGCAAAATGTTACACCTAAAATTTGTGTGGAAAGTTGTTTTAATGTCTTTGTAAATGTGCCTATATTGGATTATGCTTGGGTTTTCCTGTGGATCTTGACACTTGAACATATTTGAGAAATTAAACTTGTTTTGAAAGTCAGAAAAAATTTAAACAAATGGAGAGGAAATACAATATTTCTCAGAATGTAGATACAGCAAAACTCACTAAAATAAATGAATTATCCACAAAAAAATTGGTCCATGCATAATATGATAATTACAAAATATTGTAAATTATTTTGTCTTGCTTACAATATAATTTGCTTAATAAGTTAAAAAAATCTCAGAAATGCAGTAGAAAAAATCAGAGTAAGCTGCAAATGAAATTATAATTATTAATAGTTAATCCACAAAATGAATGAATCACACATAATTGAGAATTAACTACAATTTTGCTCAACATGGTTCTAATATATTGGAACATAATATATTACCTACTTACCAGGTAATAACTTGGTTCTACATAACAACAGAAGCAAAGTTAACTGTAAAAGAGTAATACTTTTTATTTTTATGTCAAAATAATGCACTGACCCAAAATAATCTGAATAGGACATTGTGGTTAAAAAAAATAGCACTTACAATTAAGATATGTGTTCTTTTGGTTGACTTGTATATTATATAAGATTGATCTATTAATTTTTCCTTTGGGCACTATTTGCAATAATTGATTCTACTATATATTATTAGCCTTAATATAAAATTATTTAAAATGTATTGTACTTGAAATAGGTTACTTATTTCCAAGTTATTTATAAATACGATATTTGTAATAAACTTCAAACATACATACATATATGTTTAGTTATTATGAATTATAAATGAATCAAATTACAGTGTTATGCATATAGTGAATGGTAGGCTTCAAAATTGATCAACGTATTATTTATTTTTTCCTGTATACAATCAATTTCATAAAACATATATCTTAATGTCATATTATTTGTGAAAATTATATATGTCTTGATTACAGTAACTATTTTTTAAAAACTCCAGGGCTTTTAGGTCTTAATTGCTCACCACAGTTTATATCAGTAAGAGAGTCACAGAGACCTTTCTGTCTCATATGTAAATTTTGATTTTTTATCAAAGAAGTATCTTCAATATTTTCTTTCACTTTTAAATAAGTTTTTCGCATACAATCAGTATATCTATAATTAAAAACATAGTATTTAATTATATCATTTTCAATCTTTATATCTAAAATTATAGAAATCTGAAATTCATTTCATTATTAAATCTACATCGAAATACACAATGTATACAGTGCTTGTTATGTGTTTAGCTATACGGAATTAAAATTACCACATTTATCTACTATGTCTGTATTGAATGCAGTTTATTCTACTATTCTTTAGTATTTGTGTAGTTTAGTATCTTGAACCTTAATAATTTTTGCCTAGAGGATATATAAAATAACATTGATTAATAAATACTTTTGTAAACAGGAAGTCCCAGTAGCTTAATTAAGAGTCATAGTGTTTAAAGATCTCTGGAAAAAAGTATGATTGCAAGCAATTAGACTTCTGCTTTTTTTTTTTTTTAATTATTTATTTATTTATTTATTTTTTGAGTTGGAGTCTCACTCTGAGCCCATACTGGAGTGCAGTGGCCTCTCCCGGCCGCCGCAGTCTCGACCTGCTGGGCTCCGGCGATCCTTCCGCCTCAGCCTTCCGAGTAGCTGGAATTACAGGCATGCGCTACCACGCCCGGTTGATTTTTTGATTTATTGTAGAGATGAGGTCTCGCCAAGTTGCCCAGGCGGGTCTTGAACCCTCGGGCTCAGGCAATCCACTCACCTCAGCCTCCCAAAGGCACGGGATTACAGGCTGAGCCACCAAAGCCCAGCCTCTTCTTATTTTTAATTATGTCTCTTTTAACCTTTAAAAAACATAACGTCTATTAAGACATCACTTTTTAAGGAAATCTATGACTTTTATTAAAATTTTTCTTACTCTAATGCCATGCATATTTAAGAAAAGGGAAGAAATGAAAATATTATAGAAAAAAAGATTTCACAGAATAAATATTAACACAGACATTTAATTGTAATAAATATTACAATGACATTTTCATTTAAAAAAGAAGTGAATTACATCATTAAGAGAACAAAAATTTGAAAGGTAATAAGATAATCTAAAAAACGCATGAGAACAAAATATGGGGTTATTATTTTGTTTATCCATGAACTCATTCTTCCATTTGCTCAAATTTACTGAGTAATTAATATGAGGAGAACAGTAGACTTGATATAACAGGTATTAGTAATAAAGCAATTCCAACACATGAACTGCAGTTACTTTTCATGAGCAATAGACAAAATTGGACAATTAAAACTGTGATATATTTACAAGATGTTTGCTGAATAAATTCTAAACAAATAAATTATTTGTGTCAGTCATTCAAGCAAAAATAATGAGTTCTTGCTACGCAAAACTAGGTGCTGAAAAGATAAAGAGAACTTCTCAAAGCCAACACAATATAGGATGATATTAGTTAAAACTAACAACTAAACAGACACATATAAACAAAGAGAAAGAGGGTCATATAGAAGCTCTTTATAAGTATGGTGGGTGGCATATGCTTTGTATGAAATGGTTGGAAATATGTAGTTGAATACAAACTCCACAAGACTTAGGGGATTGTACACGAGCAATGAGAGTTTAAGAACAGGGATGAAAAAATAATAACAAATAATGACAGCATGAAATTGACCATGTTTTAAGACTTGGCCCCTTCCCCTACCTTGGAGAGGTGAATCTCCTCTTTCTCTCTCTTTAATTTACTCTCTAAATAAACATATTTTCTATTCTTTAAAAAAAGGTATGACGTTATACAGCATATAAAAGTGAAATACGGTGGCTCAGCCTGTAATCCCGCCCCTTTGGGAGGCTGAGGTGAGTGGATTGCCTGAGCCCGCGGGTTCGAGACCTGCCTGGGCAACACGGCGGGACCTCATCTCTACAATAAATCAAAAAATTAGCCAGGCGTGGTAGCGTGCGCCTGTAATTCTGGTTACTTGGAAGGCTGAGGTGGAAGGATCGCCGGAGCCCGCGGGTCGAGGCTGCGGTGGCCGGGAGCGGCCACTGCACTCCAGTCTGGGTGACAGAGTGAGACTCCAACTCAGAAAAAAAAAAAAAAAAGTGAAATAAATGTGTCTACTGAAATAATTAATGCATTTCAGAAATAATCAAGAATGCTGTACAAGATTAATTTGTGCACAATTTAATCAATTAGCCTGTTTGATTACATGGAATGATATAAGGAGCTGAAATGAGAACTATTTGGAAAAAAATCCATGTTTCATTAAAAAGTAAACTTTTTCTTCATCCTGAATTTGTTAAATTAACAATTATGCCAAAGTGTTTTTTTAAATATTTACCTTTTAAATTTATAAACATTTTTTGCTCTTAGAGGTTTGTAAGTTGATAAGAGTATAGATAGTATAAAGAATCACTATCTATTTTCAAATATTTTCAAATATATTTTCAATATTCACATATTTTCAAATATTTACTATATTTCAAATAATTCTAACTATTCTTTGTAGATGACTATAAAACTTATATTTAAAAAAATTAGAGAGCTAAGGATTGATTATAAAGAGTTATTTGATTTGCTTAATTTTATATTATTATGAATATTATATAAAAATAGATCAAACTTTTGTCATGGCAATTTTCAAATGCAGCCTGTTCTTTGTTCTTATCAGGACCAAAATTAGAGCACAAAATAAATAATATATATAATACATACCAGAAAATTGATAGCAGCCACTGTGACTTGCCTGTTTCCAAATGCTAGAGAGCAGGAAAAAAAGATATCATGCAAGTAATCATATGTTGGATTGTGAAATATATAGACATCATTCAGATAGTGTTTACTGAATATGGCTATCCTATAACCAACAATACTGCATGGCACTTTCATGATAATACTTTTGTAAAGTGTTGAAAATATTTTTTTCACTTGTACCTTCTTCTAGTCATCTAATTTGTTTAGATACAAATGGAATCTATTGTTAATGTAATTAAAATAAAATACATTAATGGAAATATTTGAGAGATAGAGAAAAGTGTAAAGAATAAATAAAAGCACAGTAAAATCGCATCAACTGTGGAAAACTAATGTCTATAACTTTTGATATATTTGTTGTACATTTTATAATATTTGATAGAACAACTTTGCATTTTTTTCTTAATATTAGGGTATATCCCTTTGCCTTATGATTAAACATTCTTCTCCAGTCAAATTATAATGTTAATATGTATTATTAAACTCTTTGAAGACTGATTGAATCTCTTTCTTATTTTAAAAGCACATTTTGTATAGTCTAGAATATAATAGTGCCCCAAATATGTCTTGTTTTTAATTTTTAACAAAGAAAAGAAAAATGATGACAACAGTAATTTATATTTCTCATTAATTATGTTCTGCCACAGGCACAATTTTAAATATTCTATATTATCATAACATATATATGGGTTATACATATAATATATATAATCCAAATATTTTTTACCTTAAAATAAAGAAAAATATATGTTATGTGAGTTTCTAATATAATATAAATAGTAAAATACAAACATATTAAAAACAATGTTCTAAAGGCACCTTGCTCATAGTAAAACAATGAGAATATAAAAAATGCTACAGTAGAATTAATAGATAAGTCTATAATGAGTATTAACAGTTACATTTCTTTCTTTTTTGTTTTATCTTTGTATACATGTAAACTGAACTTATTTATATAAATACATTTACAAATAAAAATTAATATAATTTCATACTTTTAATCTTGCTTTTTTTAACCTAAGAATATGTTCAAAGACTTTAAAATATTATTAAATGCTCATTGTCATAACTTTAATGTAAACTGCATCATAGTGATTAATGTTAGACACTGTTAATACATTAAATAATATTGGATTGTTGCAGAATTAGAGTGACTTTAATTTATGTGTAGTAAATAATATTGCTTTGAAGATCCTTATTAATTGCTCTTTAATTAAATTGTTTTTTTCAGTAAGAAATTTAAAAGCATATTTTAGTGAAAGGCAATATAAGCATTTTTGCATGGACCTATATGCATAGAATAAATATATAAAACATATGTATATGAATTAGAACTTTTAAAATAAAATTTATATATCTAATAAAATAAAATACATTAATGGAGAAAATTTGGGAGATAGAGAAAAGTGTAAAGAATAAATAAAAACAGTAAAATTGCATCAGTTGTGGAAAACTAATGTCTGTTTATCACCTTGGATATATTTGTTGTACATTTCATAATATTTGATAGAACAACTTTGTATTTTTTCTTAATATTAGGTTATACCCCTTTGCCTTATGATTAAACATTCTTCTCGAGTCAAATTATAATGATTGCCTGCTATACATCTTTATCTACAATAGGCACTGTCTAAATATCTTACAAAAACTATAAATGAAAGGGAAGATATTCAGAGCATAGTTACAAAAAAATGGAAAATTCTAGAAGAAAAAACAAAACCGAATACATGGCATAAGCATATGACAAATTAGAGAGTTATTGGATCCTATTACCTGTCAGCAATGTGGACTTTTTATCCTAGGCCCACAGCAGTAACAGTTTAAGAAATAAGAGCCTCTACTGTTTGGAACAAACTCAAGTTTAAGTTGATATACTTTTTTTTTTTCCTCCATGATTTATCTGTGTGTCTTTCTATGGATTGGCTAGTGTTTGGCTCAGGTTTTTGTTCTCTGTAGTTAAACTGTAGATTTTGCTTCAGTTATTTGCTGAGTAAACTTCCTTATGTTTTCGAGTGTTATAATTTTCATAAAGATTAAATGAGATAAAATATGTCAGTTGCTTAGCACAGTACCTGAAATGTAGGAAGCCCTAATAAAGGATAATTGATAACTATTTTATTACATAACAAAAAGGAAAGAGCAGCCTCTCCCATCATGTAGCTGTCACAATATCCATTCTTTCTATTTACTGTTCTTCCCGTAGATGACATAAACTCCAAGAGGATTTGAGGCTACTTCATTACTCCTCATGCCACATTGTGAATTGAAAGTCATGTCCCTTTTATGACTATAGAAAGAGAAATGGAAGTGGCAAATTTGTTGGTGGAATGAGGAATCATATTAAGTAATATAAAAATTTAAACTTTATTCTGAAAAATTAAGTACTAATCATGATCTGAATTAAAAGTTTGTAGTTGCCTTTTCTTCTGAAATGCCCACATTTATCCTGGAATATAATAAACACGTTACAAATATTTGTTGAATAAAGGAATAAAAGCCTGATTCAACCTATTTTGTATTCCCTTTTAATAGTTTGTTACATCCCTGGGAGATTTTTTTTAAATCTGTGAGTTTTTTCCCTAAGAAATGATATCAACCACAGTGCACTTTTAAATGAAATTCTGTTTACTTACATGTGAATACATTTTATGTATTTTATTGAAAAGACCAATTTGACTCATATATTTTTACTTTTTTTTCTCTATAGGAACTCAGGCAAAAAATATTATTTGGTTGTAAACCTTTAAGGAAACAGAAAATAAAATGAAAAATAAACAAAGATTAAAAAAGAAAAATGCATATGATTACTTAATCATATATTAACCGGTGTATAAACATCACCCAATAAACATATTTTAAATCAATGTTTACTTTATGCTATTCTTTTTGCAACAGAACACTAGATGATCATATGAAATAATTACCTTGATTTTTTTTTTTTTACCAAAAAAAAATTTTCCAAATACAAGCAGTCCTTTTTGCCTAGTTATATGATATTGTAAATATGGCCATGCAAACTGATCTTAGCAATCAATGAAGACAATTATGCATATCCCAATTTCAAAACTGTTATTAAAACACCAACAGTGTTTTTACTGTTGATTATACATGTGTAAGAAAATGAAAAACTAGTAATATATATATATTTAGCTTATTGTATTATAAATTATTTTGTTAAGAATTAAAGCATTTTATATCTTTACAGAAAAAATAAGTATAATAGTATAAACAGTGCATGCCTTTCTCATGTTGTTGTACCCAAGATCCAAAGTGAGAATCTTTTCTATGCTTTGGAGAATGGTCATGATTTTTTTCTAATTTGGGGTCAGTTTTTATATTTCTTTCTTTGTATTTTCAGCGAAGAACATAACATCAAGAGTTTCTTTACTGAAAGATTTTGCTGGTGTCACTGTCATAATCTTGTAGTCTTATCATAAACATTTTTTAATTTCACTATCAACATCATCACTTCTTTTTTTGCTGCACTTTCATCTTTGTTGGCTTATTTTTCTTACAATTAACTATTTAAAAAGTCATGTGGATTATGACTAAGTGATAAGAAAGCAACAAATATGTATGCTTCATTGGTTGTTAGTCAACTGAGTAACAGTGTGCAGTTACCAATCAATGCCAGATGTCACTGGTTACTGATCATGATGTGCGTCTATTGATTATATAGTGTTATGTCTACTAAAGAGGTAGCAGCAAAGTTTGTACTTTATACAATTGCAATTAACAAACTGCGATAATTAAAACTTGAACTGTTGTATTGGAACTGGCATTTGGTCTCATTTGCTTTCAACCGTATTACTCATCTGAGTGAAGAGCCAAGATACAAATAAAATAAATTTTCAATAGAAATCAATATGGAACAGAAAAAACATTGCCTCTACTTTTTCTTATTAAATCAGATTTTAAAGAACAATTAGCTTTTTAATTTATTTACAAAATATCTAATAGCCGGTTAATATACGATTAAGTAATCATATGCATTTTTCTTTTTTAATCTTTGTTTATTTTTCATTTTATTTTCTGTTTCCTTAAAGGTTTACAACCAAATAATATTTTTTGCCTGAGTTCCTATAGAGAAAAAAAAGTAAAAATATATGAGTCAAATTGGTCTTTTCAGTTTACATAAATATTTAATGGAATATGATATGGATGCAATTTAAAATTGAATTGTTTAAGATTATTTAGTTATCACTTAATTATGTTATGTTGTTCATCATTTCTTTCTTCTTTTTTTTTTTTTTTTTTTTTGAGTTGGAGTCTCACTCTGTCGCCCAGACTGGAGTGCAGTGGCCGCTCCCGGCCGCCACAGCCTCGACCTGCTGGGCTCTGGCGATCCTTCCGCCTCAGCCTTCCAAGTAGCTGGAACTACACGCGCGCTACGACTCCCAGCTAATTTTTGACTTACTGTAGAGATGAGGTCTCGCCAAGTTGCCCAGGCGGCTCTCGAACCCTCGGGCTCAGGCAATCCACTCACCTCAGCCTCCCAAAGCAGGGGATTATAGGCTGAGCCACCGAGCTGGGCTGTTCATCATTTCTATGTAGTTTAGAGCAGCGTTTTGATGTTGATAGTTTAGAATTAAGTTAGCTAAGAAGAAATCCTACGTACATGGTGGTGTATACCAGGGGTGATTAATGTAGTACGCAATCCAAGAAGTGAATGCCCAGTAAAAGGCACAACCCTACAAATAAAACAAAATAATAGTCAGGAAAGTATATAATATATATAACATCATTGAAATCAATCTATACATTTATATCAAACACTGCAGAATGTATATGAAAACAGTATACATTGTCTAACCTAAATAAATAATATATTTCCTTGTCTAGTAAAGTAACATTCCCAGATTATCTTTTGATATCACTAAGGGAAAGCATCCTTCACCTCACTCTTATTAATATTAATGGATATTTGTGATATAGGTTGAATAAACAATATATTTTAGAAATATTTGTCAAACACAGTTTTTATTTATAAGTAATAAAATGAATGAAATACTAAAAATAACAAATAAATTCTCTATTGCATGAAAGACCATTTAATATTTAATCCACAGTAAGTGGATTAAAATAATTAATTCTTTAATCATTAGTGGTAACATATCTTGACTGACTAGAATTGAAAATAGCCTGGATTTAGGGATATTAGACAATAATGCTGATCTTGCACTCACATTTATCAATGATAAATTGTAATATCTTTTGTCAAAAGAGGAGTAAATTTAAATGATTTCTAAGATCTCCGAGTTCTATAGTTGACTGTTTTACTGCAATGAGAACAGTAAAATAGCTGCATTGTTATAATTTTTAGAAAGCAGATATTTGTCTAAAACCAGAATTTTTTTTGTAAGGATATAATTCCTTTTGAAATCAACTTGTAAATTAAAAAATAGCTTACATATTAATTTGAATCAAAAATTTAAGTATAACAGGTTGTCTAATGTACTTTTCCACTTCAATTATTTACAAATTTTTCCATTTTTGGTAATTATTTGATTACTGATACCTTCTGTATTCATGATTTCTAGAAAGAGCAAAGACACTAACATTACACTGACAATTGTCATAAATATGAATTATAGTATCATAATTTTTTTAACCACACACAGATGCATATTTGTAGGAGTACTCATATTCTTCCTCAAGTGACATAGAAGGAATTTTTTTTTAAATGCAGCCAAGAAGTTTGTTGGTATTTCTAGCCACCACACCTGTCTCTTTAATTCTCTACCCCTCCTCCCCCTTCCCTAGGTACCGTGCCCATAGCTACTGTGGTGCCCCATGCCCATAAACTACATCTTTTGCCATCCAAAATAATCCCAGCTCATGTTTAAGTGTCCTTTTCCTGTTATGAATCATTTTGTAATTAGTAAACTTTTCTCTTTGGTAAAAAGTAAAATTTGTGTTTGTGGCAAAAAGAAATAAATTTAATGCTAAATATTTCCCAAATTAAAGATCTTTGGGGAATAATAACAACTCAAAAAAATGTCATTTTAAGAGCAGAATATTTAAGACATAAACAAGAAAATCAAGGTTTCAGGGGAAAAATTGATTAAGTATTTTGCAAAGGATCCAACATACAAAATGTCTCAATAATAATTAAAAATACAAAACAATGGTAATCCCCACCTTTATTAAATTTTTCAAAGGTGTTTGTCCTGCAGAAACTTTATGAACAAATAAGGTTTCCAAAAGGTATCGGATGTAGTGTATACAATGGCAGAAGCAAGCCAAGCTGGAAAGAAAAAACATAAACATTAAGTTATCGTCCAAGATACTGGCTTTCTTTATGTGTATTGCTTTTTTTTTTAAGTTAACTGTAATATTCTGTTTAATAGGAAATATTATTTCTAGTAACTAAAATGCAAGTATTTGCTTCAATAATTTTATTCTATTTATTTTCTAAATTTAGTTAAAAATAACTGTAACATTAGTCTGTGTACATTTACCTCTGATGACACTTGAAATATTTTATAATACCAATAACACCAACTATTATGCTCACATCTGCTACAGGAGTAGGCATAAATAAAACAATTTCAAATGTGTTCATATCAAAATGCCTCAATTTAAGCAGACATTAACAAGTTTTTAAATACCCCAAACCTACTTAAAATGTATTTGACATTTCATAATATTCAAAATAACTTTTTAATTATCTGGTTGTCTTTTAGTAAGTACCACTATTGGGAAAGTTTAATTTCATTCTCTATAAGTCATAGTGCCGTTTTTGTTTGTTTTGTTTTGCTTTTGTTTATTTATTTGTTTTTTGCCAATCCTATATGTTGTGTTGTTTTGTCTCTTTGTGTTTTGCTTTTGTTGTTGTTTCATTTTTTCCCTCCCCTCGCCCTGTCCTGCTCTAATTACTGCCTCTTATCATTTTTATGTAATTATTATTTTAAAATTTCGTGTAAAATGTGATTTGCAAAGGTATATTTTCCTGTAAATTCTAAAAATAATATTTTTATTAAGATATGTTATATTTTATTATAAATAAGAGTGTAAAAAAATCACAAAACTTTGGTTTCTATTAGGAAAATTACTATGGGTCAAAGATGAGATAATTTAACCAGTAAAAATTGTACATGACCATCATCTTAGCATTTATTCAGTGTAAAATCAGCCATTAAGTATATTTCTCTGACCGGAGTTATTTGAACAAAACTGAATTGATGATTCTTGGTATAAGTAATAGTGACTTTCGGAAAACATATAATTTAAGAAACACTAACTAACCTGGTTAGGTCAGCATTAAATTTATAATTTTTTATTAATTCATAAAAACACAATTGCACACCAATTATGGAAGCAACATGTTTTACATGATGAGTACATCAATAAATAGCAGACAAATTCTGAATATGATGAGAAAACAAGAAGCATGGATACCTGTAGAAAGAGCTTTCTAGGCAGTGAGATAAAAAAAAAAAGCCAAAGTCCTGATGTAGGACGTTGCCTGTGAATTCAAAGGTTGGTGAGAGAATTGCCATTTCTCCTTACTTCTTGATTTTTTTGTAGAAGTAGTTATGGAAACACTTGAGTAATAAAATTTTCTATTTTGTAATAAAGCAGCAATGTACCAGAACTCTAAGTAAGAAATGTTAGTTCAAGCTATGATACCTCTAAAGGTCATACATTTATTTTATGTCATACCATGAGAGTTTAGCAGACACAGAGAGAGACTTACTGCTTGGATATACGACATTTTGCATATCACTGGTAACTTACTTACCAGGCCTGATTTCATTAAAAAAATAAAATCATTATTCTATTTAATTATGTTTGACTGCTAGTCGAACACTGTTTTTTCCCTATTCATCGCTAAACTAACAGTAAATCCATAAATAGACTTGGACCCATTTCTTTTTTCTAACTCTAATATTTAATAATATCTTATTTGTTTCATCCGGTAAGGTTCAAAACATGACAGCGGTAAAGAAAAAGAACAGTTTCAATTTTACAAAGACTTTGCACCAGATTTTTGTTAAAGATGAGAAAATGTTCAGATAATAAATGTATGGTCACAAAACACTTGCTGATAGAGATCCTATAGGAGATATGATTTTAGTTCCTGTGTGTAGAGGTTTCTTTCTTTTTCTTTTTTGAGTCGGAGTCTTACTCTGTTGCCCAGGATGGAGTGCAGTGGCACGCTCATGGCCACTGCAGCCTCTACTTAATGGACTCAACCAGTCCTTCTGCTTCAGCCTTCCAGGTAGCTGGAACTACAGGTGTGCGCTACCTCTCCTGCATAATTTTTTTGATTTATTGTAGAGACAAGATCTCACCAAGCTGCCCAGGCTGGCCTCTAACACCTGAGTTGAGGCAATCCTCTCGCCTAAGCCTCCCAAAGTTTCTGGGATTACAGGCTTGAAGCCATGGTGCCTGCCTGCGCAGGTTTCTAAGGGATCTGGAGAACATTGTGAAGGTTTAACTAGTCATGTATAGACATATGAACTTTTACATGATTAGCAGAAGAATACATTTGACGCTGTGATACGATTCAAAGCAATTTTGGGGGCTTAACATTTGAATATGTGGCAATTGGGTGTGACATTTAAAAATATATCTTCTTAATCTAGAGAAATGATATCATCCTGAAATTGAGATGCCTTAAATGTCTTTTGATTGTTTTATACATCCTTGCTAAACACCTACATTTCCAAAATAGTTTGTGTGTATCTGTTCTGGAAGTATTTCATACAAACTAAACATATTTGTTATTTTGGAACAATACTAAACTTAACATATTTACTATTTTGGACACAAACACATTATCACTGAGATGTTATGAAACATAATGTGTTTGTGTTTAACAGTAACCCTCAATTACTTTGAGAATGGCACTAAAAAAAAGCTATTTTTTTACACTGTGCTATATATCCAGTGTATGCTACATGTTTCATCTTAAAAAAAAAAAAAAAGGTCATAGACAACTTGACCTCTACTGACCTGACCATCATTATGCAAGTCCATCTCCACTTGCCTCACTATGCCTCTGCTACAGTAGCTTTCATTCAGGTCCTGCCATCCACCAACCTGCTTTGTACCACAGAACATTTCCACTTAAAAAATTCTTCAAGAATCACTAGTTTAAATTTCACTCACCCCTCCAGAAAGCAAAGAAAAAAGTTCTAATGTCATTTCTGTAGACAAGTCATACAGACCTGATTCTTCTCCTTTATCTTTTCAAAGCATCCAAAGTAAAATAAATGAATGTAATTGGTTAATCTACTCATCCAAAATATTTTTATTAGGTAACTTAATTTTTGTAGATCAGCTAAAGTGTTAAGATATTAATAGACTGGACACCAAAGTTCATTCATTGTAAAACTTAAGTTCTATTGAAGAAAATAGGTAAGGAAGATTATGTAAATATATCATTTTAAAGCAATAAATTAAAATAAAATAATTTTAGTGGGGTCTTTTTTATGGAATGAATAGAAATGGCTATGTCAAGTCATAAATGTTGAACTTCTATTTGCAGTATGAATATGATAAAATAAGAGGCATTGGGAATAAAGCAAGGGGAATAGTATGTGTGAATGTCCTGATATAAAATAGAACATAGATAGAACATAGTAACTAAGCAGGAAAAGCAAGGAAGTCAGTGAGGCTAGAGTACAGTGATGAAAGGTAGGCAAACATTAACTTGAAACAAGAAATTTAGGTTAAAATTCATTCTCTTTTAGTGTCTATATAAGTTAAATATGTATAATTTGCTTTAAAATTCACTAGGAGAATTTTTTAAAAGCATGAAATTTATTGAGATCTTTTTAATAAACAAATTGGTCACTCAACATTCCAATGTAGTATACAGATATTAATTATATTTCCATTTAATTTGGTATGCCTTTCTTAGAGACAGAGAGATTATTTTCACAATATGCCAACAACCACAGTTATGTAGTCTATTTTGAAGACTGTCATTTTTTATTGTCATATTTCAAAGTGGTATTTAATTTTGTATTTTGACTTGCAGAATGTAACTTGCAAACTTTTTTTCTGTTTATTAGTTATTATTTCTTTCCTACAATGTTGCCAGTCATTTTAGAAAAGTATTTATATTTTGAGTCCTACAGTGTCTCTCAATTTTATAACTGTAAGCTTCTGTTGATTAACTTTCTGAATTACACAATTTCTCTTGTTAGCTGTGATCATTATTAACTTAAATGATCTCTACCACTACTTTAAGGTATATCTAATAAGTCATTGGTTACAAATTTGCAAACTAGTGTGTATATATTCTTAGTAGTTCTCTAAAACACATTTCTATAAAATTGAATCCTCTTTAATTGGACTTACAATCAACCTTTATTAATACATTATCTGCTTACTAGTTCATTTCCTCAACCTGTATGCAATATATATTTCACTTACTGTACAACTGGGTGGCGTAATCTTCTAGAGCTCTCTCTCACGTCATAAATACATGGAATTCTCAAATAAAAGAGGAGGTATATTAGCAGAGGTCCTGTGTATTCAGCCAAAAATACCTGAAAGTAAGAAGATTATGTGGATTACACAATAAATTTTTATTGACTTTTTTTTTTTTTTTTTTTTTTTTGAGTTGGAGTCTCACTCTGTCGCCCAGACCGGAGTGCAGTGACCGCTCCTGGCCACCGCAGCCTCGATCTGCTGGGCTCCGGCGATCCTTCCGCCCTCAGCCTTCCGAGTAGCCGGAACTATAGGTGCACGCTACTACACCCGGCTAATTTTTTGATTTTATTGTAGAGATGAGGTCTCGCTGCCCAGGCGGGTCTCGAACCTGCGGGCTCAGGCAATCCACTCACCTCAGCCTCCCAAAGGGGCGGGATTACAGGCTGAGCCACCGAGCACAGCTGTATTGACTTTTAAAGGTTTACTTATGACCATAAGCATTAACTCACTGTAGAAACTGTTAAAATTGACAGGTGTATATCTATATTTTAAAAGAATTAGACTTGGGTGCTAATACAAACAAGAAATCTCTTGGAAGTCTTGTTCTGATGTAAGTAAAAAGTATAATATATGGATAAATAGTTTACAATAAAAATACTGAACCTAATAAGCTAATTTACTTAAAAATAGCACAAGGAAGACTTTATGTGTAAAGAAATTATTATCACTGTATTTTGTGTGTGTTCTCCAGTCCAATATGCATTCTATCTTCTGTAGAAACTATTCTTGACAATAAATGCAATGGGCTAGAATACCTGTCATTTTTCTTTTCTTTTTTTTTGTTTCATTTACCTTGGACCTGTCAGTTTGAATCCAATTGATCTGACTCTAATTCAAGTTGAAACAATTTAGTCTTCTCTATTGGAAACTTTATAATGAGTCTAGTTGTGTAGCTAAATGGATTGGATTTTGAATGCTACAGCTAGGGGTAAACATATATGTGGAGGGAAATATTTAGAGAGACACTATACAAAATTTGGGAAGATAATTGAAAGCAAGACTGTGTGATTGCAGAAAAATTAATGGACTGACTGGTTTTCTAAATGTGGTGACTTTCCATTATTTTATTTTGTACACCTTATTTTGAAGATAAGCCCAATATTTAAATTTCAATTTATTTCCATTGTCGTATTGTATTTAGGTTTCCCCTCTTTCTGAAAAGTAAACTCTTTCAAATTAATCTGTTGCTTCAAATACAAAATGCATTACACTACTTCTATTAGAAAAGGAAGCTCTTTGGAACTTCCATGGAATCATCAACTTGTCATATGTCTAAACTGAAAAAAAGAAGAAGGCAATAATCTGTTTAAAAATTATAAATTGCAACATGAGACTGCAAGTGCAAATTTGCTAAGACCTATGTGCTTAGACTGTGCTTAATACATTTAATTTATTATAAAAATGTTATATAATTACTGGGATGTTATTGGTTTTCCTTTCTTGTTTTCTAAAATTGCAATCGACAATTGCTAATAAAACAGCCTATTTCAGAGTTGTTGAAATTGAACAATAAAAATAAAATAGTTTTAATCCCATCTCCCAAAGATAAGAGAGCTACTACATAAAATTATTAAAGTATCTTTTAATAGTAATATAGTAATAGATCTTTGCACTTAATGATTACTATTGAAGTTAGAATTATACTAGATAAAGATTGTTTTTCTTTTTTTGTGCAGCTGAACTATCAAATGACATATAATTGAGATTTATATTCTAAATAATTAAAATAGAACACTAATGAGCCTCATGAGAATAATTGACCAGCATATTTACTAATTTTTTTTCAGCCTTCAGAGAGTTACAGTCATTATGGAAGTAGAAAGTCAAGAATTTTGAAACAAGTCTTTAGAGAAATGATTGAGCCTGAGATATGAAGCCTTATACAAGCCTGACAAGAAGAACAAATTTTTTGATGGGCCTAGGAATGGAAAGACAAAAATTGTTGCTCATTATTTCCCAAGGAAAATAGTATCACTGTAAAACTTCCTTCACAGATTAGGTTTATGAAGCAAATGAAGCTCAGCATGAAATCTTTTGTATTACTAATTGGATGAAAATTATCTGAACCTTGTAATGTTCATCGATTCACTTATTTGGAGAATGATAACTTACCTTTGACAGAAACCAATATCATCTTAGATCTCACATTTTTTATGGTTAACCGTGTTTTTTCTTTTAAATGTGATTTTTAAAAATTTTGTTTATTTTAGAGTGAGGGGTACAGGTGAGGATTTGGTACATATGTAAGCTGTGTTTAGGTGAAGTTTATACTTCTAGTGGGATCTGTGATAGTGGATTAGGTCTTATTTATGATTAGAATTTTTGACATAAAATTTCTTGCACTTAGTCAAAATTATAAAGGTATGCAAGGACTAACATTATTTTGACCCAAACAAAGAGAAACAGGGGAAATTCAAAATAAATTGAAGATCACATGACAGAATTATCATGCACAGTCTATTAAACTTATTTTATGTGTTCAAAATAATAAAGGCAATGTGGAGAATTTTGGATATGTAAAAACCTTGAAAATGAAAACAAGGAAGAGTAACATGACTCTCAGAAGAAAAATACAAAGGAAATAATGCAGAAGGAATAGTTGAAGAGATGTTACCAAAATTTTCAAATTAAATGCATATATACAGATGTATACATATATATACCAAACCACAGACTCAGTTAACACTATAAACCCAAAGCAGAATAATTAGAAATATAATTATAAATGTGAATATCATAGTCAAATTAATAATAACCAAACAAAAAAATGTAATAAGCCAATGACACTGCTTTCAAAGAAGTATAACTGACTTTTCAACAAAAACAATGAGATCCAGGAGTTAAAGTAATAAAATATTGTGAGGTAAAAAATAAATAAATAAATAACTACCAACATAAAATTATTTTATGCAAAAATTTTCTTCACAAATAAAAGTTACATAGAGACATTTTAAGATAAACAAGAATTGTTATAATTCATTTATGGCAGAACTAGAATAAAGCACTAAAGATGGTATTTGAGCAGAGAGATACCAGGTATATGGTCAACATTAGAAGAAATAAATTGTAGCAGAAAGGATTATTCTAAATAAATATCAGCCTGCAAAATTATAGTAGTGCATTTTGGCTATAAAATACATAGACAAAGAAAATATGCTACAACAGTATAAGACAGGTTAGGAGAAACTCAAATATAAAGTCATTCAACAATTTATGACATATTTTTAAATTAATAAAAAAATTATATTAAGGTTTGATATTTCAAAGTTGCACATTTTACTATCTTTAACAACTACTACAGTTAGAGAAAAAAGAAGATATTGCTACCAAAATACAGAAAGATAATAAAAATAAACTATAAGAATTAACATCAAATAAGAAAATAAGAAAAGAAAATGAGATTATAGAAAAAAAGGATCATGAATCAAATTGAAAAACAAAACTTAAGTTTGGTTAAACATGTATGACTTTTTACAATTAAAAACAAATATTTAATTATTAAACTGTAAAACAAAACAAAATATAAAACTGTTACAAGAAAACAGGAAAACAATTCTTAGACATGAAAGTGAAAATAGTAATTAAAAAGATTAGACTGCTTTAAAATTGAAAATACTGCCACTTTTATTCAACATAGTATGGGAAGTCCTATACAGAGCAATCAGGCAGAGAAACCAGAGAGGAGAAAGTCAAAATATCTCTGTTTGCTGATAATATGATTGTATACTTAGAAAAACCCAAAGACTCCTCCAAGAGACTCTTAGACCTGATAAACCACTTCAACAAAGTTTCAGGATACAAAATCACTGTATAATAATAAATAGCATTTCTATGCACCAATAATGTTTACGCCAAGAACCAAATCAAGAGCTAAATCCCATTTGTGATAGCCACAAAAAAATTAAAATTCCTAGGAATGCATTTAATCAAGGAGAAGAAAGATCTCTACAAGCAAAACTATGAAACGCTGATGAAAGAAATTGTAGACAACATAAACAAATGGAAGAACATCTCATACTCATTAATCAGAGTATTAATGACCACATTGCCCAATTGCATCTAGAAATTCAATGCAATCTGCATGAAAAAACCCAACAACTAGAAAAAACAATTTACAAGTTTACATAGAACCAAAAAGAAGCCTGAATAGAGAAACTAATCCTAAGTAAAAAGAAAAAAAGCAAAGGCATCACACTGTCTGACTTCAAGTTACACTACAAGGCTAGAATAATTAAAACAGCATAGTACTTGTACAAAAAGAGATAGATAGATTGATGGAACAGAAGAGAGAACTCAGAAATAAAACACATTCCTACAACCAACTGATCTTCCACAAAGCAGACAAAATAAACAATGGGGAAAGGACACTCTCTTCAATGAATGGTGTTGGGAAAACTGGATAGTTATATGCAGAAGAATGAAACTAGATGCCTACCACAAACCATATACAAAAATTAACTCAAGATGGATTAAATACTTAAACATAAGACCTGAAACTATGATAATGCTGGAGAAGAAACCTAGGAAAAATTCATCAGGACATTGGCTTAGGCAAATAACTTATGACAAAAACCCCAAGACAAATGTGACAAAACAAAAAACATAGACAAACGAGACTTAGTTAAACTAAAAAAATTTTAAACAACAAAATAAAATACCAACAGAGTGAACAGAAAGCCTATGGAATGGAAGAATATTTGTAAATTATGCCTCAAAGAACTAATATCTAGATTAGTGCTTAGAAACACAAAAGACTCAACATGAAAAAAAAAAAAAACTATTCAAAAAATAGGCAAAGGATATGAAAATAGACACTTCTCAGAAAAAGACATGAAGTGACCAACAGACAAAAAAAAAGTTCAAGATCATTTATCTTCAGAAGTTGCAAATTAAAGCTACAAAAGGATATCATTTCACACCAGTCAGAATGGTTAGCATTAAAAAGTCTAAGAACAGCAGTGTTGACATGAATTCAGAGAAAAAAGAAGATTTATACACTGTTGGTGGGCGTATAAATAGTTCAACCTTTATGGACAACAGTATAGAGACTTCTCAAATACTAAAAGTAGAACTACCATTTGACCCATTAAGCCCACTACTGGGTATCTGCACAAAGAAAACAGAATTTCTATATAAAAATAATACCTGCCCTTGTATGTCCACTGAAGCACTATTCACAATAACAAAATCATGGAACCAACCTATGTTAATCAATGATTAACATTGGGCATATATACACCATGAAATACCCCATAACCATAAAAAAGAAACAAGATCATGTCCTCTGCAGCAACATGGATAGCTGGCACATTATCCTAAGTAAACTACCTGAGAAGCAGGAAGACAATGCACCATATGTTCTCACTTATGTAAATATACATAAAGATGGAAGTAACAGACACTGGGGATACTAAAAGGGGGATTGTGGGGAGAAGTGTGAGGGTTCAGAAGCTACTTATGGGCCATGATGTTCACTATTTCAAAAGTGTAGAACCAGAAGCCCAGCCTCACCAGTTCACAATATATCATGTAAGAATGTGCACTTGTAGCCCCTGAATCTTAAATAAATAAATAAGTATGCATATTAGTTGCAGTAAAAAATTGTAAACGTTTTGCATAGTAAAAAAATTCTGTTAAGAAGATGAAACGACAAGTTAACGACAGAGAGACAATATTTTCAAACCCCATATACAAGGTCTTATGTTGAGAATATATGAAGGATTCTCAAAATTCAAGAATGTGTTCCAAATAAGTAAAAAATTATGTTCACACAAATACTCATACACAGATGTTCATAGCAGCTTCTTTTGTAATTTTTAAAAACACTGAAAACTAGTGCAACCTCTGTGGAAAACAGTATGGCGATTCCTAAAAAGTCTAAATATTGACCTCCCATATGACCCCACAATACCCCTACTGGGAATATACCTGAAGAACTCAAATCACTCTATAAAACAGATACCTGCACACGTATGTTTATCGCAGCATTGTTCACAAT